CTTCTTTTTCTCCTTAACTTTCTAAATTAATTCTCTTTTTGGCTGGGGGTTGTTATTTGTCAATCAGGTTAAGCATTCCATCAAAAATGAATAAAAAGCCACCCTGATTTTTTCCTAATGTACGCGCTCTATCATTTTGCCGGGTAATACATAAAAACATTAATTTTGTGTAGGACAAGTCTCCACTTGCAGCGTGTCTCCTGAGAGAGAAAGGAAAATGCAGAATACCCACCCTGTATTGTATCAAGACAGCTCTGCCAGAAACCATGGCAACTCGCCGTGTCGGATTAGAGACGCAGAGTTTGTGCGGATCGCTGCTGCGCTCAGGGTGCCTTCATCTGGGGTTTTGGGGACAGATTTGGTTTGTGGGTGTGGAATGGGAGCAAGAGATGAGGAGATGCCCTCAGCCTCAGCGATGGAGCCACTGGTACTTCTCCCTGATTGGTTTTTTGGTGCTATCCCTGATAATTAGATAGCTCCCATTAAAGCCAATGAGCAGGAGCTGCCTGGTAACGTCTCGGTGTGCTGAAGAGATCCATCACAAAGTATCCAGTCCTCATGCAGCATCTCCAGGCTTGGGTTTCAGAGCCACATCAGCCCAGTGGTGCTGTCACTGAACAAGGCACCAACACCCCAATTTTGGGAGACACCAGATGCCTGCTGGGTCTCTCCCATACCTGAGCATTCAGCCACAGATGTTTGGGTTTTCAGTCCAACACCGCATCTGCAGCATCCATGAGAACAGCCCTGCATCTCGGTGCAGTGAAAACGTCCTGCGTGCAGGATGCTCCTCCAAAATTCCCTACCAGGAGACTCCTCTGTCACCGTGCCGGTGGCTGCTCCCGGTCTTCTGATGGACGGAAAAAAGCTTCTGCCCCATCATATGGTGAACCACAGAGTAAGCGCAGTCACCCAAACATCTGTGCAGCAGCAAGGAGCCAGAAGCAGATGGGAGCAGACAAAACACATTCTTCGTTAAGCTTACTTGCAGACCAGCCTTAATAAATCCCAGCTCAGCAGAGCTTCTGCTCTGTCTGCCCAACACCGCAGCTCTGTCTGGGAGGGACACCTTGGGCTGCACCTCCAGAGCTCAGCAAAGAGGAGCGAGCCAGGATGAAGGCACCACCTCTGCAGCTTCCCATCTCCTCTGAGGTCCAGCCCAGTGCAGGTCACCTCCCCGGGAGCAGCTCTTCCAAATCAATGGCTAAAACAAGTCAGAGGAACTGCTCCAAGTAAGAGCAGGAGATCTTCAAGGAGATCAGAGCACCTCCCTGAGGAACACACGGGAAGATTACAAGTATCTAAAATCAGGTGAGATGAGTCTGAGGTGAAGCACTCGAGGTGAAGACCCGAATGCTTTGAGGCCCTGTGGATACTGGGAAGTTCCCTGAGCAGCGCAGACAAAAAGCCTGGTCCTACCCTGCTCCAGGGTGAGGGGTGACGACAGGGGACACACCACCAGCACACACAGCGCCGGGTGGTGCGGTGGCACCCCGAGAAGCAAAAGCCCACGTTAAGACAGTCCCATGTGTGCAGCAACACAGGGAGTACAGCATCATTTTCCTTCCTTGGTTTTCCAGCACAATAAAAGACAATCTGTGACTCTACCTCAAACCCCTGTGTACTGGTTAGAAGAGCAGGCTGGACAGATTCCTCTCATCCAGCTTTATTTGTCAGTACTGGAGACATCTCCCGGTGAGCCCGTCACCCCGAGCTCCCCTCCTAAATCAACAGCAGGAGACGCTTCCCAGGCTCTCTTCATCTGCCCTGTTTTAGCCTTTTAGCTCGCGATGAAATGAATCACTCCTATTTCTCTCCTCTGACTGTAAAGCAAGTCTAGACGAGGAACTCAGATGTTGATACTTAAATCTGGGTAACAGTCATTTCACTTCTGGGGTCCGCATCTGCCTACAGCTCTCATTGCCATGCCAGGGCAAATCACTTCACTTCTGTCTCTCTCACAGTCCCTTCAGCAGCAGCACAGGGATAAAGCATTTTATCAACGTCGGAAAAGCATGGAAAGTAATTGCATGGAAGTTTCTGATTAAGTCTGGGCAGAGAACAGCACAGCATTACAGCAGAATTTAAGTGAAGGAATACAAGTGTAAGAGCAAACGCGCAAGAGCAACCACTTTCTCCGTGCGCCA